ATATTGACAAAATGAAAATGTTACCTACATATTGTCTTACTTAAGCTGAGCTGTTTTATTAGCCAGACGACAGGTGGAAATTAGTCAAATGAAGACATAAACCCACTTCCCCTCCACTTCTGTTGCTCAGTCCAGGTCTTCAGGGTAGATGCCAACCCAGAAAAGCTGGCAGCTAGTCCCAACTTAATGGAAACAGATGATCTGTTATTATTCCTAATGTAGCACCATATGCCCCTTCTGCCTGGAGGCCTATTGGACAGTCTGATGACCCAAAAATCACGAGGAGAAGTGAACAGTGCAATACGGTAAAGGTTCACAAGTGAACTGGGCCACAACGGCCAGGCACTCAGTGTGGGCATTATCATTCAAAGCCAGTTCTTCAGCCGGCCAGTGTGGCGCAGTGGTTGAGCATCGACCCATAAACCTGGAGGTCATGGTTCGATTTCTGGTCAGGGCACATGCCCAGGTTGCGGGCTCAATCCCAGGTAGGGGGTATGTGGGAGGCGGCTGATCAGTAATTCCCTTTCATCACTGATGTTTCTATCTCTCTTCCTCTCCCTTCTTCTATCAGAAATCAATAAAAACATATTAAAAACACATATACACAAAAGCAAAAACAAAACCAGTTCTTCAAAACTTGCTGCCCAGAAAGCACCACCCTTTTATAGTAATAGGACTTAGTTTCCTAGGAAGTAATTTCCTGTAGAAAATACATCCAGTCCAGCAAGTGATTTATAACCATTCTCCCACCCTTCACAAACACTTCCCCCAGTGCCTCCAACCCACAGGAGTTTCAGCTATAAAAGCAGGCCCTTAGAATCCTTCTGTATCAATGACCAAACCAAGTTGCTGATATTCCAAGTTGTTTATTCATATTCCATTTGCTTTTTATGCACAATTCAGACCATTTCTATTTCTAACACAGCAGTAACCTCAGGGGAGGACCTGAGTCCAATGGCATTTAGAATCTGACCTCACTAGACACAGACGATAGAAAACCTTCAGTAGCAGCACCTCCCTGTCCTCATTCCTGCCTCAACACTCGCACTCCATAGTCAGGGTTTGGTGGTGAGTATCACTCAGAAGATAGTCTATAGTGGGAAGAATTCTGGGACATAAAAGAAATTATTTCACAATTTAGTGACAGTTTCTTCATCTATACAATGGGGATTAAAATACCCGCTTCTGCAGGGTTGGTAGGAAATGCAAACGACACACCTGGTTCATTGTATGGGCTCAGGGAGAGCTACTGTCATTTGCAGGGCTGTCCGTGCTTCCAAGTACTGAATTTACGCCTCCTGGTGGCTCTGACAATCCCTCTGGCAAAGAAATCTGATAAAATTCTAGCTTCCAATTTGCTATCTAGTGAATCACTAGGTGTGGAGAAAGGAGAGGGGGAGGAAAGAAACCATTTTCTCAGTGCTATGTGCCAGGCACTGTGCGAGGCATTTCATGGTCACCATCACAGGAGGCAAGCATCCCCTCTCCCGCCTCCAACAGGACAGGTGGAGCACGGGGCTCTCTGAGCACCAGAGGTGGGCAGGGCCTCTGATCCGCCCTGTTAACTGGTGCGAGGTCTGGCCGGCCCCCTCTGTGGCAGAGACATTTCTGAAAGCAACCTGCGCTCACTGACCTTCTGTAACTCTCGTATGAGTTTAGAGGTGAGGACAAGGCACTCCCAGCACAGACTACACTGGAAAGTCAGAAGGGAAAATGGCTGTTTGGGTTCTGACAGTTTTGGGTCAGTTGTGTTAAGGTTGGTCAGGTTGAAATGAGCAAAAAGGGAAATGAAAACACTTCAGAGCTAACTGCTGTCCACATACAGGATATTTGAAAAATGTTTTTATTGAATATTAAACAATTACAAGTACTGTAAGTTAGACATTTAGCCAAAGCACAATTACAGGTTAAATATAATCATAAAGATGCCTTAAATAGGAACCCACCATGCAGGCAGGTTAGCTCCTCGCTGCCCTCTTTTGGAAAGTAGAGGGGGACGGAGAAAAGGTCTTCCATTCCATGTGAGAGAAAGTGAAGGCTAGAATTACATGCTGTAAGCCATCTTCCATGACCAAATCGATAGGGTTGCCAGATTTAGTAAAAGAAAACACAACAAAGCAAAAAACCAGGATGCTCAGTTAAATTTGAATTTCAAATAAATAATAAAGAATATTTTTACTGTAAATATATGGCAAGTAACGCACCAAACATAGGTAAGCTAAAAAATTATTTACCTGAAATACAAATTTAACTGGGTGTCTTGTATTCTCTCTGGCAATCCTACAGATAGACAAATGCAGAGAAGAAAGGGGAGGGGACCGAAACCCTTGCCACAGTGGGTCACACAGACAAAATAAAACTACACCAACAGGGAACCAGAGTTACTCCACTGGTACCACACAGAGCACGACACCAGGAGAAAACACAAGCACTACGCCAAATGCGGTCGCCGGGAAATATTGTCGATTTCCTCCCGGCTGGTTTTGTAAATGTTTTTGAGAAACCTTGTTGAAAAAGTACCTTTTAGTCTGTAGGTATCAAAGACAAACACTACTATCACAAAGACAGGATGAACTTGAAACAATGGAAGCAGAAGCAGGCATATATGCACATGAAGAGTTTAAATATTTCGTATAATGAATACAAGGGTTATATAGTCAAGGTCATCTTCTAGCTCTAGACTGTTAGCCTTGCAGATTTGGGTTCCTTTCTAATTTTTACTGTTGTGTTTTCCAGTTTTTTTATCCTGAACCGTGGGAGGGGCAAGGAGTGTGTAAGGGACTCCACTCTCATAGAGTTTAACTGCATTTCTCTGCAAATGCTTTCAGGGTTGTCTGCAGAAATAGGCAGACAGATAAAAAAAAATAACAAAACCATCTGAATTCTGGAGAATGAGAAATCCGTTGGTAAAGATGGGTAGCAGGGTGGGGTGTGGACATATGAAAGTGTAAAACAGAAAATATAAGAGACCGAAGAGCCAAAACGCAGCCATCTCTCCAGTGTGAATACTATTTCAAAGGAGGCAGACCCACGGCGGATGCACAGAACCATCACACACGAGCATATCTGGTCTTAGAAAGTATAGGGAATCTTCAACTTCCTACCGCTCTGCGCGTGTCACCATGGTTTATGTTTTAAAATGACTGAAAAACAGCTTGTGCAACACTGAAATTCTACAGGGTATCGCTTTGTGAGTTGTTGCTCTATCTCCCACATACACAAAACTTAGCAAGTTCTGAAATCTTTTTACATTTCTCCAAACCAGATGATTTGGAAACTGGAGGATTTCCGACATAAAGAAATTGAAATGGGCTGATTGAATCAGCTCTCTGCATGGAAGGGAGCATGACCTATGAAATATACCCTCATCACATAAGCCTAACAGGTGTGAGATACACAGAGACAGCCACTCACTGACACCTTTCAAACACCAAGAAATGGAATTCCAACTTTTTATTAGGATATAAAAGGTTTAAAAGTTTCTGCCATAGTTAAGGCTTTCGTAAGAAGTATTTAATTGTATATTAATTTCAGAATCCACAAAGTGTCTGAAGAAGCCTCACCTTGAAGGGTGGTTTTAAAAAAAATGCATTTCCTTGTTGCTCACTAGATGCGCCCAACCAAAGCTCAAACATTGTCTTCACAATTACTTTCTTTTCGTTCCTCTGTCACTGATTTGACATCAAACAAGAAACCCTGTATTAATGTCGGTTTTTAGTGTTCCCTGAATGACTAAAAATCTCTTTCACTATGCAATATATCAGCCCAAAAGAAAACTGTCACGCCATGGGCATTTTTGGTAAGAAGGCAGTTTATCACAGATTATCATACAAATAGGGTCTGGACACACTGGGGAAAGGTGCTTAAAATACACACCATTCCTGTTTCAAAGAGTTTACAGAAATCCAGAGAGTGCACATGTTTAAAAAGAAGGTGCGTGACATCCAATAAAACTGTTGTGCAATTGGGAGATGTGCTGAAACAAAAAAACCCAGCCAGCTCACTGAATTCTCACGCTGTTCTTCCAGAGTACACCAAGTTTTGTTTTTTTGTATAAAGGCTATAATAATAGAATATTAATCTATATTACTTTATTTGCCACATTCAGGCATTTCTCAATGTCTATCAATGCACTGAGAGCAAAGAGAAATTAGTCTAGCCTCCAACATCAAGCTCAAATGAACACAAGGATGCTGTTTCATGGAAACATTCTAATGATGTTTATTCTATTTATGTTATTGAAAAGCTAGAACTCTAAATTCCAAGAAGGAAAAGGTCAATAAAAAACCTGGTTGTACTGCTGTTATTTTGCAGGCATAGAATTAAAACTCTGGGTTCCATACTGTCATTTGTTTAACGAAGTAGCAGGCCGAACACCTGGGTCTGGGTGTGATATGGAAACAGAAAGGTACAGTCTCCTTCTGCAAGATTCAAAATGAAGACAGGAAGAAAATGAGTGGAGTCAAAGGTAACTGCTGGCGCTGTCTATAATTCCAGACGAGCAGCCTGGGGAAAGGGGAGGCCAAGCAGAAGGGGAATTTAGAGGTTTATTAAAAATATTAGTATTTTAAACCCAGGCTGGCCACGCCTAGTACCCTGTCAGCACTGCAGTAGAGCTGATGTGTCCAGATTCTCCCTCATCCAGTTTGCGTAACACAGCGGCCAGTTCAGGGGAGGCCATGTTGGAAGTCCTCAGCCTGCTAGTGTTTCTGTACAGTAGGTACGTATACAAGAACCTAAGTGGACCTCAGCCTAGTTCAACGCCACGCTTTTACATTCCAGAGGCTGTTTCACACTGTTCTAGATGGGAAGCCCAAATGTAACTGACTTGCTAATTTGAGTTCACTCATGACGACCTTTGGTTTTCAAGTTTTGAAGACATGTATTTGGTTCCTGTGAGATGTTAATGAACCCATTCTCTTTAGCAGATGAATATGTACACCTCCTTCCAAGAACTACTGTATACTTGAATCATTACAAGACAAGAAGCACTGCAAATGTCTCCCTTACATGGTACCTTTACTCGGCACACAGAACAGACAATACATAACATCGGCAGTTTAAATACTGAACCACAGTTTAACTTCTTAAGTGTAAGGCTGAAGTTTAAAACTGGCACATCCATTAATCCAGTTAGCATGATGGAAACGACATACAACCACAGTCGGGTAGTGGCCTTTTTTTCAAAGCTATAAAGCTTTCGATATCTATACCATATTAACCCTTTTACTTAACTAAAATCACAGCTGTGTTTACCATTTTAAACTATGTCTAAGTGGGGAGGTAATATACACTTTCACAGCTACTGAAAACTACACGGATGCCAATTTCACCAACCCATTGTTACACAGAGAAACAGAAGGAAAAGGGGGCGGGGGGAGAAAGCCCTCTTAATGAATATCAAACTTCAAAGCTCCATATGGAATTCTAGGGCTATTAAACAAGGAGCCAAGACACACACTGAAACTCCATCAGAAGCAAAAACGGAGGCTAATTCTTGATTTAATTTTGAGCTAGAAAACTCAAACTAATGCCCAGTGCCTAGTTCTAGCAATGGACTCAAGCCAGAGAGAAAGTGAAATGTATATTTTAAGCGCCATTCTAGGAATTTTGCATGTAACTGTTTTATTTTTCTTTAGGCAATTAAATGAGTCACAGCTTAATCAGCCTGCATTAAAAAACAAATTAGTTTTCAGGACTTTAAGTTGAAATGGCAAGTCTGTGCCACCCTGTTTCTTCTTTTCTTTACCACATACTACTTTGCTTCAAAGCTGAGTAGGTGCACGGCATGTGAAAGTAATAAACCAATGCACTCATTCGATGTTCAGTTAAGTGAAAAGGGCGAGCGTAAGAACTACAATGTCTAATTTTTCACAAATGTCTATGTGCACTTAGCAAATGTTGATTAAACAAGCTAAACAAAGTAGTAATTTCATGAAGTAACAGTATGGTATTTCTCCATTTTCAGTAAGAAAATAACTGAAAGAGCTTTGGTTTCAAGTTTTTGTTCTCCTTGTCTATAAGATGTCTGAAGAAACCACTCTAAAATTTAGTGCAGGGACCTATCTAAACTATCTGAAGAACCTCATTCAAAATAAGCGCCAAATCTTGAGTAAACAAAAAAGTCCTTGCATTTGTGCCGATTTATCTGCTAAATAGGATTTAAACCCTAGCTTTCTAACATAAAGAAACAATAAGTGATATTTCTGTGACTCCAATGAAGCACAATATTTTGACAGAATTTGGAAAAGGCAGCTGTCTGGAGCAACGATCCTGGTGGTGCGGATTAAATGAGGATTTTTTTCTTGGAGGCGTCCCCGCAGTCCCTTTCTGCTTCAACAGCCCAGAACAGGCTCCTCGCAGGGAAACGGCTTCTCCTTCCCAGCCCTCCCTGGTTGTCTCACCTCCAGGCTTGATGGCAGCGCCCCCTTCCCTGGCTGCACTCCAGTGGGTCCCAGCAGGTCCTGATGCCTCTGAAGCTGGTGCTGGAGATAGGCTCTCACCCTCTGCTTCTCTCACCTTGGGAGCTCCAAGCCAGGCTGATGTCTGTGCCTTTCTCTTATAAGACTAGCCAATCAATAAAAGGACTGAAATCTGATGTTTTCCCTTTCCATCTCAATTTATGTTTATAAGAAGTACACATATAAAATAAATCAAAGTGAAAAAAAGTGGAGACTAGTCTTGTTCAGCCAGAAGCTTAGGTTGCATTGCTAATGATTTTAGTCAGTGTGACTTTGTGCAAGATATCATCAAGAAGGCTCCAGCTTATTATCAAAGTAAGAAAAAAAAAGCCAATGACGCCTGTTTAGAAAAAACTAAGAATGAGCCTGGGTACGCGTACTTGTTATATAAATGCCATATATAACAAAGCAAATGTAGTGTGTGAATTGTGAACATTTGGGAACGTACTGGTTATGTTTTCTCTTTTTCCATTTCCAAGTCTAGATCAAAGCAATCTTATTTTAGAAATGGATATCTGCAATGAAAGTGAGCCTGAGATATATTAAAAGGCCGCCCCTGTAAACATTTCCTCAAAGGGAACAGCAGCAGTTGAGTATGTATCAGTTACTCATACTATATCCATCACTATAGCAATGCTTCGTAACGACAAACAGCTTTTCTAGGCTGTCAGGGATTTATAGAATGTTGGTTTTGTTGGAAACAGTTCATTCGAGTCCAGTCCTAGGTTTCAATCTGATCTGGCTTTCCCAGGGGGCATTCACTAGGTCTTCTGCTCCGCGGCGGTTGCAGTCTGTGAAGGAGCTTCCGGCTTCATGATCTGGTACGTGATGAGATACTCGGGGTATGCCTGAGGGACAGGAAGGAGAAAGGTCACCCTTTTGGCAGCTACAGTAGTAAAGCCTTACTTGATGTGAAAGCCTCAGAAGCTGTTGATCCAAACCAATATTCTACTCCATATGCTCAAAGTCTACAAAGGCCATCCCATTAACAGGTGCCCGAAAGAGGAGATGCACCTATATGTCTGCATATACACTTACAAATCCTACAGTCTAGTCATTGTTAAAATCTTATGTGTACTTTGAATACTGTACATTGGTTACACTGCATTCCTCCCTCATTAGAGAGCCATGTGCCTTAAATAAGAAAACCAAGGCAAGAGAACAACTCTCCCTTGTTCACCTCACCTAGCACAGTGCTCAATTTAGCATGTGTTCAATACAAGTGTGTTAGATGAAAGAATAACTCAGCTGAACCAATTTTAACTTCATCACAGATGATGATGTAACCCACTGATCCATAAGAAGAAAGGAGGAGATATGTTGAGTCACCAATAATGTAGAGGCGACAGTTTGAAGATAATTTTTTAAAGCCATCCAAATATGAAAGAAATGATCTTTACACTAACATAAAATATTGAAAAGTATATGGTAAAATAAAACTGAAATTACTTATTTATATCTGTCACACAAATGCATTTTTTAAAGTCATAGGCATGCCGAAACCGGTTTGGCTCAGTAGATAGAGCGTTGGCCTGCGGACTGAAGGGTCCCAGGTTCGATTCCGGTCAAGGGCATGTACCTTACTTGCGGGCACATCCCCAGTTGGAGGTGTGCAGGAGGCAGCTGATCAATGTTTCTCTCTCATTGATGTTTCAGGGAGCGGGCCTAAGCCAGCAGTCGTATTTCCTTAGCACTGTCACTGCACTCACCAGCCATGAGACCGGCTTCTCACTGAGTGGCACTCCCCCTGTGGGAGAGCACTGACCACCAGGGGACATCTCCTGCATTGAGCGTCTGCCCCCTGGTGGTCAGTGCGCATCGTAGCGACTGATTGTTCCGCCATTCAGTCAATTTGCATATTAGCCTTTTATTCTATAGGATTTTATTTTTGTTGAATGTTTAGGTTTACATTTTCCATTGTGATTAGGCAGTGATGGGCCCTACAGGTTTTTTTGTCATCATCACTGATTATATTAATACAAATTTCTAGAAGTGGAATTACTGAGTCAAAGTGAAAGTATTTTCTCTAGAAGTCTAGAGTTTCTAATTTAAACAAAAATTTGACAAATTTATTCTTTGGTAGCTCTTAAACCTTTTTATTTAGAAACAACTGCAAACTTATACATTAAGTTGCAAAAGTGAAAATGGTACCCCAAACAACTGTATACCCTTTACCCATTTCCATTTATTGTCAAGGTTTATATGTCTTATTCGCTTAATTATGTACGCTTCCTCCTACCTCTATATATACCAGGCAGACAGACAGATACACAGACACTTTTTTTTCTGAACCATTTGTGTGTAAATTATATATATTTTCACAGTTCTTTATCCCTAAATACGCCAGTATTTATTCCCTAAGAAGAGAGATATTCTCTTACATAGCTGGGGGTGGGTGGGAAGAATTAACCAAAGAACTTGCATGCATTTATGCAGAACCCATGGACACGGACAATGGTGTGGAAGGCCTGGGGCACGGGGCTGGCTAGAGGGATCAATGAAAAAAAGAGCAATATCTGTAATACTTTTAATAATATAAACTAAAAAAAACACACAATTTTATAATGCTAGACTTCTATCTATCTACCACTCACATTCCAATTTTGTTTGTTGATTTAATTTGGGGGCAGAACATTAAGTTAGTTGTCCTGTCTCTTGGATTTTATTTAATCTGGAAAGTTTTCAAAGCCTTTCTTTGTTTTTTATAACATTGATGTTTTTGAAGAATCCAGTCTTCCCAATTTTTTATTAATAGAACACTCCTCATTTTGATTGGATGAGATTATGCATTTTTGGCTGGAATACTACACAGATGATGTGCCCATCTCAGAATGTCGCACCTAGAAACACACACCGTCTATCTGTCCCTCATTGGTGATGTTAATTCTGATCTGGTCTGGTATGGCCCCCCCTCCAATGTATAATTACTATGATTTTTTTCCTCTTTTCTAACTAATATAAAGACCACATAAATGTCCTTTTCCTTGTTAAAATCCCCTCGATTTAGCATCCATCAATGATTCTTCCCTGGTCTAATTTTTACCACAATGGTTGCAAGATGATGATTTTCCCAATCTGGTACTCCCTCCACATACACCCATCTGCCCATGGCTTTCTACTGTAAGCAAAAGCAAAAGCCTTCCTTTCCCCTTCACTTATTTATCTATTTGTTTTCAGTAAAGCATTATGAATTCCTATTTTTTTCCCAATGGTTTAAAATTTATACTGTGCTTATTTGGTGTTCAAGGTGTCACAGATTTGGCTAGTGGGATTGCCTTCACGCTGGCTCAGTGTCCTTGTAACCAGCCCCCATGATTTTTTTAAATTATTTCCTTTTTAAAATATATTTTTATTGATTTCAAAGAGGAAGGGAGAGGAAGAGAAATATCAATGATGAGAGAGAATCATTGATTGGCTGCCTCCTGCACACCCCCTACTGGGGATCAAGCCTGCAACCCGGGTTTGTGCCTGTGACAGAAATTGAACCCGGGACCCTTTAGTCCACAGGCTGACCCTCTATCCACTGAGCCAGACTGGCTAGGGCCCCATGATTTTTTTTTTGAGCACTTCATTATTCCTGGCATTCCAGATGTTCCAGGCTCACCTTGTTCCTATTCTGCCCTCTTGTTCACAATGTTACTTGGTTGACAGGTGACTAATGGGCTTTGTGTGTAAAGTTGATGCAAAGAATTTTATTATCTTCATTCACGACCTGAAGCAACCAATGCTATCAGACTATGAGGTAGGTATTTTCTTAAATGGCTTTCTTTAACTCCTCCCTGGTATAAGTATACTGTACTGTGTTTAGTAACTGTGTATGCTCATCTGATGAGAAACATACCTGTTCTCCTCTGTAGATGACGTATTCGGCGTACGCCAGCCCATTCACACTTGGTCTCCCAATGACTGAGTGATGTCCTGGAGGGGCATGAGCCATTTTCATGGTGCTGAATTGCAGAAAGGATTTTCCAAGGGTCACTCGACAGAAAAGCATTTGTCTAAAGGAAAGAGGAAAGCAATGCCTTGAAGGAAGCTTTAAGTCTTAAAATATAATGGTTAGGTTTGATTAAAAAAAAAAACTTAACACAAGGCAAGCTAACTTAAATGTCCCTTTCATATTTATGAGTAGAAAAGGATGGGATTTGACATGCTGATTTATCATAAACAGTAGGCGCAATAGTTACCCTTGAAGTTTAAAGTAGTTTTGGTGTGGTTTAAAAATCAATCATAAAAAATACCTGGCATGTTTTGATTAGTGGAAAAGGAAAAATATTTGTGAAAACCGAGCACTTATACGGAATAGTAGGAATAAAGTGAAGAAAATAAGCGAATGGCAGCAGCAACTGAAGTTAAGATTTGGCTTTACTCATTGTGTAAAGTAAAAACTGGGATGAGATAATAACAGTAAGAGTGGCTCATATAAAAAAAATACTTGCTTACTCACAAGGCTGACAATGACACTACCTCGGCAAAACACGAATTGGAGCAGATGTTAAATATTATAGAGGAGAAGAAAGGTTGGCAAACTATGACTCATGAGCCAAATCCAGTCTGCCACCTGTTTTTGTAAATAATATTTTATTGGATCACAGCCACACACTCATTTACATATTGTCTACGGCTGCTTTTGCACTATAAGGGCAGAGTTGAGTCATTGTGATAGGAATCATATGTGGCCCATTAAAGTTCACCAACACTTAATATAAACAATGTTTAAACTAAACAGTAAGGTTGGTCACACTGTTAAATGTAAGTAGTTATTCAGATAGATTGTTTTTAGTAAAGGAGTCTGATCTTTGCAATATGACTGATCAGAGATATTATTTTCAGTCAATTAAACACTGTGCCATACTTAGTATAATTGGGTCCTTCCTAGGCTGGCTGTTTTAGTGTGATGCTACTGATGACCCTCTGGGATGCTGGCTTGGTTGCAACTGCATTCTCTTGGACCCAGAGGAAAGGGTTTTGATCTCCACAAGAGGGAGGCTTTCTGAGCTCCATACCCACATTGTGGCAGCATCATGGTATCATTGGCCTCTGCCCACTAGGCCAGCTGGGCCCAGTGCCATGGCCACTCCTAGTCCATATGTCACACAAAGCCTGACCTGACAGGCTTGCCTCTACCTTCGGCTTCCTGCCCCAGGGCTTCACTTTGCTGCGGGGGTGGGAGAAGCAGCAGGATCTACCCAGCGGCCCATTGGGCTGCAGGGTGTAGAGCACAGGTGGGGAGTACTAGTAATGGCTCCAGCCTGCTCACCCGCTTGCCTCATGCATTGTCCTGCATTCTAGAGATGCAGCAACCCAAAATGGGGCTTGAAGGGATTACCAAAGGCCTGTGGAGCAAATGTTGACCAGCGCAAGACAGGAGCCAGCAGATAAATTCGTCTCTCCTCTCCTGCGATGTTCTGTTCTGAGATGCTTTAGTTCATACGGCTTCTCTGAAGATGACTTCTGGCCTGAGCAACCAATTGCACTCATCCTGAAACTGCCCAGCTCCCAATGAGCCTGTCTATCCTGCCTCCTCCTGGAACTCACTTTTTTTTATGCTCTCATT